ATATATATATATATATACAAACATCAAAATGTATGAATATACTTGAGGATAAACGTAATTTTAGTTATACGTATATTATTTTCTTATTACATCTTTAGATTATCATCTTTTACAATGTTTTAAGAAACAGTGTCGAAATTTGGAAGTTTGCCAATAAACTCGCATTCAATAATTATTATTTATTTTAAATTGTCTGAAATATTTTTTTTAAAATTATAACACATATTGAAAAATATGTGACAAAGCATATAAACAAATAAATACATATTCCAGTTGTTTCTCTTTTTCCTTTTTTTATTTATTCATCAAATAATTTTTGCGTTATTAATATTGATCTTATTTTTACTAAAAATATAGATATCTAATGTCTGCGCGCTATATATTGTAACACACGTATTATTTATTTTTACAGTCATCCACAATCCATAATCATCAATCACAAAAGTTTCAAAATTCAACGTTTCATCAATTAAAATTTCATTCTATATATATTTCTTTAATTTCAATTGTCACCGAATTATAATATGTACAGATTATTGTGAAGTGAAGGCCAGTAGAGATCAAGATTGATCACAGGTGAAAAATTTTATTTGAAACGTGTTAGAGCATTCAAAAAGCATCATTAGCATAAAGTAGTTACTGATAAGCGTACTGTCTCGTTGTGAATTGTAATCAATGTTATAACTTATCTCAAAATTGACATATGCCAGAAATGGATATATATCGCAAACATAGTATCGATAAAATTAGTACGGCATTTGAGTGCGGACTATTTACATTGCCGTTTATTTATAAGTACATTGGTGAATGCAAGTGGCAGCCCCACGGATGTTCACTGTCGTGTCTAGTCGAAAATGCGCCTTGTTTCCATGGAAATAATAGATGGATTTGGTTATTCGTATTGTCACTGTTATCTACTTTGAAATACATAGATCGTAACGTTCATTTAAAAAAAAAGAAGGTGGTAATAAGTTTCATCTAAAATATCATCAATATTAATAGTATATAAAGTTTTGGCTAAAATCTTTGTTATTATTTTGCTTGTTCTATGATATTCATTTGCTAGAACTGTATAAATAATTCTAATATAGTTTAATCTTTCATGCTACAGTATTTAATAGATGCTCTAAATTTAATTGCTGATAAAATTGCAAAAATGCTAATGGGACCCTGATCAATATAGATGAGAAATAATGTATTATGTAAATATGTATTAAGTAAAGTAAAAGCAAAAATATTCTTACGTTATCCATTTTGTGTATTTGGTTAACATTTAATATAATTTTTTGATTGATTTTTATAAGTTTTATTATAATTTTATATAGTCTCAGTAAAAATTTGTATGTTTAGATATGAAGGAAACTGCGGAGGAAACCGGAAGTACGAGCACAGCCGCGAAAAACGTCGTTGAGAAGGGTGAAGTCGAAGCCACGAAAGAGAAAGGAAACGAGAAAGAAAAAGAGAAAGAGAAGGAAAAGGAAGAAGACAAGAACAAGAAAAAGGATAAGAGTGAGAAAGAGGATAATGATAAGGATACTGGAAGCGAGCAAGAAATCGTTTTCATTCAAGATATGGGATTCACTGTTAAGATTGTTAGTCCAGGTGCTGAACCTTTTGATATCCAAGTTTCCAGTATGGAGTTGGTTCAGGTAAGTAATCACCTACTTAAGGATTTTTTCCCATATGATGAAGAAAGAAAATTTATACTTCCTATTTACGATGATAGAAAATAGAAGATAACTTAATAAAAAAACAGTAAGTAATAAATTTTATTATTACTTTTCAGGAAATCCACCAGTTACTCATGGATCGCGAGGACACCTGTCACCGCACATGCTTTTCCCTTCAACTCGATGGTAACACATTGGATAACTTTGCTGAGTTAAAGAATATCGAAGGCCTAAAAGAAGGTTCGGTTATTAAAGTCGTGGAAGAACCGTACACTATGCGAGAAGCTCGTATACATGTTCGACATGTTCGAGATTTATTGAAATCTGTGGATCCTGCGGATGCTTACAACGGCGTCGAATGTAGCAGTTTATCGTTTTTAAATGTGGTTACCAATGGTGACATCCTTGAAAAGAAAAAGACCAGAGCAGACTCGGTTGATTGTACTCCACCTGATTATATTATACCTGGCTGCAAAGATAGACCATTATTACCCTTACAACCGCAAGCCAAAGAACAAAAATGTCCTCCTTGTTTAAAAGTAACTAATATAACACATATAAATGTTCATTATTTAATGTATTATTAATATAAATGCTTAGTTAATTAATTTATTTATTATAGGTATTAACAACATCCGGTTGGAATCCACCACCCGGTCATAGAAAACTGCACGGTGATTTATTGTATTTACACGTGGTAACGTTAGAAGACAAGCAATATTATTTGACCGCGTGTGCCAGAGGTTTCTTCCTCAATCAATCGACAAAAGAAGTATTTAATCCAAAACCAGCAACTCCGAGTCATCTGTGTCATAGTTTAATTGAATTACTGAACCAACTCAGTCCGGCTTTTAAACGGGGTTTTGTTGCTATGCAAAGACGAAGAACGCAGAGACATCCATTTGAACGAGTAGCCACACCTTATCAACTTTACGCCTGGTGTGCGCCTCAAATTGAACATACAATCGATGCAATACGTGCTGAAGATAGTACGTTTCGTTTTATACAAATTAACAAAACATTAAATTCTGTACTCACATATGACTATATTACTTGAATTATATTTTTTATTTTATTATTATTGAATTATTACAATCGTATTATTACTAGCTTCAAATTTCGTAATTTATATTCGAAATTAACCGATTAGTTGATTAATAATTAATATTAAGGTGTTGATTACGCTGCGTCATGATTTTATGTTTGATCATCCATTTTATTTATTCGTGAACAGCTTTCTCTTCTAAGTTGGGATACGAAGAACATATCCCTGGCCAAACTCGAGATTGGAACGAGGAGTTGCAAACAACGAGAGAGTTACCTCGTAAAAACTTACCTGAAAGATTACTTAGAGAACGTGCTATTTTTAAAGTATGTTTATGATCAATAATTGTATCTCAATGTATTAATACAATAACGTAGTTGAGTTTTATACAATGTACAATACATGGATGGATTCAGGTTCACAGTGATTTTGTCGCTGCTGCTACTCGAGGTGCAGTGGCCGTAATAGACGGTAATGTAATGGCAATAAATCCCGGTGAGGAGGCAAAGATGCAGATGTTCATTTGGAACAATATTTTCTTCTCTCTTGGGTTTGATGTCAGAGATCATTATAAGGAACTCGGCGGTGATGCTGCTGCTTTCGTCGCGCCTAAGAACGACTTACAAGGTCTTAGAGTATATGCTGCCATTGATCTACCTGGTCCTTACACGCTTGGTACTGTTGTAATCGATTACAGGTTTGTATGAAATTAGATACACGCATCCCTTTCATCACATTATTTGTACGACGTGGGTATTTTGTAGCGGGTCATTTGTACATACTTGTTCGATGTTCAGTATTCTATCGCAACTTAAATCTCAATCAAAAGGATGTTAAGTTTTCGTGGTAATCACTCGTATTCCTCTGCATAGAGGATATCGTGTCACCGCTCAGTCAATCATCCCTGGAATCTTGGAACGCGAGCAGGAGCAATCTGTTGTTTATGGTTCTATAGATTTTGGGAAAACGGTTCTTTCGCATTCAAAGTATCTTGAATTGGTTAGTTTGCAATAATGACTTTATGTAACTTCTATGAAAAGTATTTATTACCAGAATAATTTTATATTTATTGTGCTTTACAGTTGAATAAAACTGGTCAGCTATTAAAAATTCTTCCTCATAAAGTTATCAACGATGCTGGGGAGGAGATTGAACTTTGCAGCAGTGTAGAATGCAAAGGTATAATCGGAAATGATTCCCGACATTATGTGTTGGATTTATTACGAACTTTTCCTCCTGATGTTAATTTCCTCAAATGTAAGTTTGTAACTAATGTATCTAAAATTAGTTATTATTATTATTAAATTTTCATTCTGTGGTTTTCGTAGTGGAAGGAGTTGAACTGAGCAAAGAAGCTAGAGCTTTAGGTTTTCCAATTGAACACAAGCATAAACTAGCTTGCCTTCGTCAGGAATTGATCGACTCCTTTGTTGAAGCTAGATACGTGCAATTTATTAAACATGCTGCTTTTCATTTGCAGCAACTTACATCTGCAAGAAGAGTGCAGAAGGAAAATGAAACCATTGTTAAGGTAAGAAATTATCAAAATTCATGATAAATATCAATCCTAAAATAGTATTACTATTTAGCATTGCATTCATTTTAGGATGGTAAAAGGGAAGAATTAAATGCTGTTGCAGTGGATAGTAACAAGGAAGATTCCACTCATACTTTGATAGAAACAGATGAAGCCAAGAAGATTGTGGAAAGTATTACTGATTCTATCACTGGCGGAGAGAAGCAAGAATGTATGTCATTTAATTGCTTGTTTTATTTAAATAATACTTTGTTTAAATTCTACGTTAAATCTTTTTTTTTTTAGTGGAAGAAAGTACAAAAGAAATAGTTCGAAGGGCTGCAGCAGCAGTTGGTAGCTTGCGAGAAGCAGAATTTGACGTCAGATTTAATCCAGATGTATTTTCTCCAGGCGTTAGACATCCAGATCCAAATGGTCCTGCTTTAAAAAAACAAAAACAATTGGTACAAGATGCCGCCGACTTTTTACTTACCGTACAAATACCTACTTTTGTAAGTTAGAATATTTTCACAGAATATTTTCATATTTGATATATCAAATCAAATATCAGTTTAATTTCAAAAATATATTGAATTTAATATTTTTATCGTAGATTCGAGAATGTTTAGATCATACAGCTGCCGCAATGGATGGTAGTATATTAGTGGAAGCTTTACACGGCAAAGGTATTAATGTACGATATCTTGGTAAATTAGCAGCTATGTTATCTACTGTTCCACAACTACAATATCTGAAACGTATTGCTGTTTCGGAACTTATTTTACGATCGGCGAAACACATTTTTACATTTTATATGCAGGTATATTAGTGAAAATTGAAATTAAAGTGAAGTTATTTTGTATTTTGTGTCTACGTGAACCTAACTTTTTCTTTTTTTAGGGTACAGAACTAATGAGTCTTTCCGCAGCTATTAGTCATTTCTTAAATTGTTTATTTTCTTCTGCACAAATTATTCATCCGCAACAAAATCTGGAAGAGGTATGATTATCTTTACAAAATAATATCAGTCAAAATAATTTTTCAATGAAAATGTACTAATTGTTGGCGAATTCTAGCTTCAAAGTAAAACTGCCAAACGACGTAATAAAAGAAAAGGTAGAAATAATGGTCCACAACAGTCTGAAGTGGAATGGGCTTCCTTAACGCCTAAATCTCTTTGGCAACAAATTAAAGCAGATCTGAAAAGTTATTACGATTGGGAGACACCGTGTCCAGAGTCGTTGGATGCCACGATAGAACATTTTCACCTTCAAAAAATTTCTTTGCTCCGTAATTTCTGCATAAAGACTGGCATTCAAATTTTGTTACGTGAATATAACTTTGAGAATAAGAACAGAGCTACGTTTTTCGAAGAAGATATACTCAATATATTCCCTGTTGTAAAGCATATCAATCCTAGAGTAAGAATACAACTGAAATATAAAAAAATGCTTCGTATAAATTTTCGTAATAAATTACTTAAATTTATTTTTTTTATTTCACTTAGGCTAGTGATGCATATAATTTCTATACAACTGGACAAAGCAAAATTCAACAAGGTTATTTGAAAGATGGATATGAACTAATTAGCGAGGCACTCAATTTATTGAATAATGTATATGGTGCAATGCATCCTGAAATTGCACAATGCCTTAGAATGCTTGCGCGATTGAATTACATAATGGGTGATCATGCGGAAGCTCTTGCTACCCAACAAAAAGCAGTCCTCATGTCAGAAAGAGTTAACGGTATAGATCATCCATATACTATTACTGAATATGTAAGTACAAAATAAACATACTTGATCAATGATTAAAAATACACAATATTTTAAAATTATTTTAATAGTATTTTTATATGTCAACAGATTCGTCTAGCTCTATATTCTTTTGCCAATGGTCAAGTCTCTGTATCACTTAGGTTACTGTATAGAGCACGTTATTTAGCGTTATTGGTTTGTGGTGAAGACCACCCAGAAGTAGCACTTCTTGACGTAAGTAATTTTAATAGGAATAAAAACTTAAAAACTCAACTTTTAATCTTGACATGTTAATTATTTGTTTAGAGCAATATTTCGCTGATTCTCCATGCTGTTGGAGAATATGAATTATCGCTTCGATTTTTGGAGCATGCTTTGGCCTTAAATCTTCGATATCATGGGCCACGATCTTTGAAAGTTGCTGTTTCTTATCATCTAGTCGCGAGAACTCAATCTTGTATGGGTGATTTCCGCGCAGCTTTAAATAACGAGAAGGAAACTTATGCTATTTATAAACAACAGTTAGGTGAAGACCATGAAAAAACCAAAGAAAGTAGCGACTGTTTGAGACATTTAACGCAACAGGCTGTGGTTCTACAGAAAAAGATGAATGAAATTTACACTGGAAAATCTGGTGTTAGCTTACCACCGATTCAAGTGCAACCGCCTAGTATGGGATCCGTACTTGATATGTTGAATGTGATTAATGGTATTTTATTCGTCCAAATCAGCCAACAGGATATTGAGAATTTCAAAGCGGAAATAGAGAAACGGCAAAAAGAACAAACACCTGATAGAGAGACGAAGGTACTTCAAAATGGAAACAAGAAAAACGAAAAGGAAAATAAGAAAGAAGAGAAAGAAAATAAGAAAGAGGAGAAAGAAAATAAAAAAAATGAAAAAGAGAGTAAAAGAGAAGAGAAAGAGAATAAAAAAGACGAAAAAGAGAATAAGAAAATAGAGAAGAAGGCGGAAGTACAGAAAGAGTTGAAAAAACTGGAGGAAAATAAGACAATGTTAGAATCAGTAGTAGCAGAGAGCTGAGCTCGTTTTAAACCGCTGATGATACTTAGTAGTTTTTTCTGAATCCTAGTCTTTCCCTACCCGCGTCCAGTCTTTTTTAAGAGTAACGCGAGTACGGCATATATAACTGATTGGGATAAAATGAAAATGACAAGTGTTTGTTCGAGATAAGGATCGTTATTTGATGTATCGTACATACATTTATAAAGTGCTACCAGAATCATCGAACTTTTATAGTGTGGCGATCAACGACAGCATAGCTAAAACTTTTCGAAAGAGCTAGATTTCCTAATGCTCGCGATGCTCAAGTACAATACGTCAAGCTATAAAATTTATTTGACTGAATTGATTCTCTATTTATGTAAATAATTCTGAATGAAAAAATTCATTGCCTTAGCGCGTATGCTTGTCACAAATTTTACTCGTGATTGGATTTACAAACTTATTCGAACAGAAAGTATTTTTTCTTGAAAATCATAATCAACAATTTATGTCGCCTAATGTTATCGTGTTTTTTCTAAAAACTCAATTAATTCTATTTTATAATGATAATGGATTTTGCATACGTAATACCTCTATTAATCGACGAAACAATAAACTAATATTTGTTCCAGGATATTGCACAATTGATGCTAAAATTCAAATGAAACGTATTGTATCAGTGAAATTAAAATGCTACGGCAATTATCTGTAAAACGAATAATGGACTTTATTATCATAGAATATAAGTCATTTTTTTTTCTACACTTTTGATAGGCTATTTTATTACATATTCAAAATCATTGTTTTGTGCCATTTAAGCATCGCTGTCACTTCCCCATTTTAGTTGCCATTAATACATATTGAAGTCATATATGTAATTGTTTTTCATTTTTAGATAATTTTAATCTTGTTGAATTCGATATAAATATTTATAGGTAAAATTGAAATTACATGGAAATCAATAACGAACAATATTTGTATTGTATTCAACAAGACAAATTTATACAGTTGTGTTCATCATTTTTATACTGTATACATCATATAAAAAGCTTTTCTCCATCTTTTTATCACCGTTGTTTTATCGTCACCCTATGTGAGGATTTGAATCTGAAAATAATTTTATATTTAAGAGAATTTCCAGTTACACGAAAAAGAAAACAGTAATCAGTGGTGGCAGGAAAAGCATGGTATATAACAAGTGTGCTTTTACACTTTATGATCATTAAGAACGGTTATCAAAAATGACTCATTAATCAATATATTATAGAAGTAGTGTCAATTTCCTAATTACTATTAGAAATATTGTTAGTTCTAGATTACTAGTTAGTTCTAGAATTATAAATATTGAAAATCATCTGTTACTGATTTGTTATCTTTATCAAATAACATTTGTTATAAAACGAATGTTAAACATGTTATGTTGAAATTTTATTATATCATCACACAAGAACTAAGCTGAAGAATGATATCAATAATCTGTTGACATTTGTTTTAAATAGAAAAAATTATTTCGTGTTTTAAGTTTGTTATGTTTATAATAATGATAATAATAGTAACATCGATAATAGTGAAAGATGAATAAGTAAAAAGTTTTTAATAGTTTTTGTTTAACAAGTTTGTATACTTTATAACATGGGTATTACATTGCACTTGTTAGTCAAACTGTACGATAAAGAATGCTAGTTAGTAAGGATTATTCATTATAAATAAAGTTGAATACTTGATATATATATATTACCTGTTATATAATTTCATAAAATTTACGTATAAAATAAATTATTTTCTATGGAACCTAAATTCGAATCTTAAACGGTTTCCATATTATTCTTAAGCGAATTTTCAACTTGTTCCGAATTTATTTCAATTTTGTTTGTTTTTAATCGTTTTCTTTTCTTTTTGTTTGAGTTCTCATGCTGTTTTTGAAAATATTCTCTGACACCTAATTTATTTATTAAATACTGTCGAAACATTTCTAGGGCATTCTTGCCACCAGTTCCTTTTTCGTAGATCATAGATATTTTTACATCGTCATTTTCAGCTTCTTCATTTTCGATCACTTCAGCAAAAACGTTACATATTAACAAAGGTTCATTTTTATCTCCTGAGTTATTCTTTAATAATTTTTCTGTAGTATCATTTATTACAGTTGTACATTCTGTATTACAGTTGTTCATTGTGTCATGATCCACAGATTGATTCATTAATCTTTGAGCTAATCGACGTTTTCTACGTGCATGTGACCATGTATCATTTTTTGCAACTAGTTGATACGACCAACCATTAAAGTCATCAATTGGCAAATTTAATTCCTTGATTTGTATCTATATAAAAAATATATCAAATTAAAATATTGTAAAAGCACTACAAAAAGTATAAGTATAATGTTACTTGTAATTGTTCCAGTATTTCTTCTAGAAAATTAACAAAGTTGTCAAAAGAAGAAAATTTATGCCTCATTGGGAATTGTATTTCTGTTGGACGTTGTTCTCTTAATAATTTTACAATGTAATCTCCACTTTTTTGAATAACAGGCGCATTTGTCAAATTAATAACATCTTTGGGTAGAAATGACCAAGCCAATCCCCATCTATAAAAAAAAAAAAATTAAATTGATAAATACATGAAATCAAAAAAGATATATTCACCTTTTTGTGTGTCCTTGACAAAATTCTGTCCATGTTGAATTTTCTATATCTTTTTTCTTTAGAAATTTTAATAAAAATAATAAATTACTTCTTCTGCCAAACATAGTAGTATAAATTTTTACTTTGTTTTTAATTTCTACACTCTCTTCAATCATTTGTGTTACAAATGCTCTTTCACCACCTTCAACTGTAAGTTCAACTTTATTTCCAGTTGGAGCATTTCTTGGTGGTAGTCGCTTTATTACTTTCTCTGATGATCCTTCTATTTCAAAAAAAGGAGGATTACACATTGTAAAATGATATATGTTATTTTCTTTTATAATTTCCTTCAATATCGTGGTTCCATCTACTTTACATACTGTAAAACAATATTCAAACGTAAAATATATATTTTAATTATATATATATTATGTAACATATGTAATTAATAATATATTATATGATATACATAATTAATATATAATATGTAATTAATTTGCCTTTTATTATGCCTTGTAAATTATTATTTTCAACATGTTGAACAGCTGTTTGCATACTTGATTCATCAACTTCTGTAGCAATCATTTGATTTCCATACATTTTTGCAAATAATAAAGGATAAATACAAACTGCACCAGTACCTAAAAAAGTATGATTGTTGCCATTGAAAATTCTTTTTAATATTATGTTTTACTTGATTCTTAATTTATACCAATATCTACACCGATCACTTCTTTCATTTCATGAAAAAAAGCATGTTTCATTAAATCTTCAATCCATAAAATATAATTTAAGCGTAATGGCAGTGTTGGTACTAATTTATTTGCAGGTATTTTTACTTCCAGATTGAAATCATGTTTCAACAATACTTCTGTAAGTACTCGCAGGCTTTCTTCATTTTTGAAATCAATCTTTATCTTGCCTGTTAAATTCTATATATTAAATAAATATACACATTATATTTTGTATGAAGAAATAAATAAAAATAGCAATAAATATATAAGTATTTATACATATATACATAAGAAATATGTAGCTTACAACAATTGCAATATCACGGAATTCTGAATATAATAAAGCAAGTTCTTTAAAATCTGGTACTTTCTTATATTTATTCCTCGGATGCATAAACTTTCTTAATGACATTTTCAAAGAATTATTCCTTCTTCTTTTCAATAATGATGTTGATACATATTTTTTATAATACAGTATATGTACTCATAACAATTAGTAATATGTAAATACTTTTTATTTTACAAATGTAAAATCATAGACAATGCATAGAATAGATCTGACATCTTGAATAGATCTACGCCAGTAGATTCAGAGTATCGATCCTATGTAATAGAGGGACATGTAACAATTATAAATGACGGATCAATTTTTATTCAAATTTCTAAGTACGTTCACGAATAATTTTGTCCACAAGTTAATTCTCTTGATTAACTTTCTCTTTGCAAATTAAAATTTGATCGTTTTATGTACGTTGAAACACTATCACCATGTAGCGGTGGAACTTTTAATTTTTGAATTTGAATTTATTTATATAATATCAGTTATATAATATCATTTATAACAATCAGTTTGATAAAAGACTTTGAAGTTTTGTAATGAAAGCATTGTATAATATATAATATTGAATGCAAAATCGCGGTAATGCGAACTAAAATATCGAATTTCGCGCCGGAAATATTAGTCGGTTTCGCTGCTATGTTCATGGTATATCAGGCAGTACGTAATATCTATAGTACAAGTGTAACATTTGAAATGTTGGCAGCAGTGTACCCGAACGAATCTATCGTGATGACAATTTTAAGTGGTGACAGCCGCGTACGTACTTCTCAGCATTACAGTAATATCATATACGTTTTTAGTGACACGAAATATAATTTTCCTAGTGTGTGATTTATTTCGTAAGCAGCATATGGAATATTAATCGCATGTAAGGTATGTGCTTTACGATAATTGTAACGAGTATCAGGAACAGATGGTTGTTGCGATTTCGTTTCGCCTGACAGTTTGTTAATATGGACAAGTGCCTCTCTGACAGTTTTCCTTTTTTCGTTATCGTTATTGTTAGGCACCTGTTACTGATTCGTCATATTTATACTCTCGTTCTTTGATTTTTGCTGTTCTATCACCGATTTACATTTCGTCTGACTGGAAAACGGCACGACGTGAATAAACGTTACGTGTGCAGTAGCGATTAATGATACCACGTTGGAAATATTTATTTCTTCTATCATGTGAATTTCAAGTTGAACAGATTATATTTTACATTTTGTATTTTCATATTTTTTCAAAAGAATTGAAGTAGAATCGTGTTGAGACGAATTATTGTTAATAATTAATTTCGAGGTATAAATACACTTTAAATAACAAATAGATGTATAACCCTATGTTTTCATTGGAGTGTTAAATTGTGTTTACAGTTATGTTCTTTTTAATGAGATTGATAATTAAATGATACATAGTTATCGCTAGATTGTGGATGTTTATGGAAATTTAAAAGCAGAAAATTATATAGGACGTATATCACATAATGTTTGATGATATTTCAAAAGTAATTTTGTTTTATTTTTAGTTGTGTTCATAAAAATAGAAATTTTGTAGATATTGTATAAATTAGTATTTTTAATATTTTATGGCTTGAATAATTATAATGAAAAAGTATATGTATCATCTTTTAGATGAAATAATGATATTTATAAATATGTCATATTTTTTTCACATAAATTTTTACATAAAAAAGCTACATATCTTTGATTTTAAATAGATAAAAGTAAACATAAACTTAAACATAAACTTACAAATATTTTTCACAGTTTACTTAAAGGTAAAATTACCCAAATACTTTAATAATAATTTAATATTTTAATATTTTAAATTATTATCATACATTTTACCTAACCTTAAACGAGTTTTGTTCAACTATGCAATCTTATTGACATAATTTTGTTTATATTTAGATTAATATATGTACATTCTGTTTATTCTTGTATTTTAAAATTTCATACAAATGAAAAATTTAAATGCCTTGCATTTGTACAGTTCATATTTAATGGAAAAAATTTTTATACCTTATGTATTATATATCAAATTCAAAGTGAGTGTATAAAATTTTAAGTTTGTTATAAAAAGTATTGGCGTACTATTGTATTTATTATAGCATATACATATATTAATGAATTAGATCAAGATATGTTAAATTTGATAATAATATAAATACAAAAATTGTACTAATGCAAGTATAGACAAATTTGATATTATGAAAATGATGTGTGAGAATTAATAAAAATTTACTGTTGTATAATGTGCAGTCACTGTGTAACAGTAAATCTTTATCTCTAAAAACCAAAAATGTATAATGTACTAAATTGTCAATGCTTATGTATTTATAAAGAATTTGAATATACGGAATGCATATAACGTAAATATATATACAAGATATTTCAGATAAGGCATTCACATTATAATATTTAGAGAATGAAACGAATTTCTGTTCCTCTTAGTTGCATGTATAAAAATCTGAAACTATAAAGACTGAAATATCTGCAATCTACATGATCAAAATTGAAACAAAGAATGTGTGTTATTGTCTTTTCCTCAATCTAACGATAATAGAACTCGTTTGGAAATTTTGATTTATATCAGGTTCGAAGAGTTATTTCTTCTTTTCGTGAAACTCCACACGTCACATTTCACCTAAATCGGTGTATTCTCACTGGAATTTAGTTGCTGAAATCGTGCGTAGAAATTTTTTTTCTTTTTTTTTTTTTTTTTTTTT